CTATTAAACTGCTGTGTTTTGCTTAGATGCAATCTGTATAATGAATAATTGGCCCCTTTCAGAGATCCAAAACTTACTCTGGACTTATTTTTCTCAGATTCTTTAGCTGGCTGTTGTGCTATTCCATCTAGATTCCCACTCTACAATAGAATGCCACCAAACTAATAACACTTTTTCATAGTGAAAAAAAAGATAATAAAGAATGAAAAAAGGGATATATAATAAAAACTAATATATCAAAGAAAATAGATACTAATACTAAGGAATATAAAAAACTAAACTAAAATCTAAAAGAAACTATTATTAAAAAGAAAAAAACCTGCTAGCCAGGCGAAATCTTTTAATTATACAAAATAATGATCTACTATTAAGTGCAAAAGTCTTAACAAAAATATAAAACTATAACAAAATATACTATAACTTATGTCAAAGGCTAAAAATAGGCTAGATATTGCAAAAAAGAACAAAATTGACAATTTTTTCAAAAAAATTTTTTTATATAAATTAATTTAGAATAAAATTAGGATTATTTTTTATTTAATATACAAAAGTAGTTATATTATATATTAATAGAATTTTGTAGTATAGCTTTTTAAAGTTTGCATTTTCTTATGATTTATTATAAGATTTATAATATAATAATTGATTTTCTTAGTTTAGATCACAGAAAATTTTGTCTGAGTCTCTATTCTTTTTTTTTTTTTTAATATTAATGGTGAGGCTAGAGTCTCTATTTTTAATATCCTTTGGATATAAAAGTTATATGTAATTTCTTTTTTGTAAATTTGTTTGTAAAGAGATTCATTTGAGTTGTAATAAAGTTAGAGCCATGGCCTTACTTTAAGATTAAAAAAAATATATATATAATTGATTTTCTGAAGATCTTTTTTTGTCAATTTCGTCCTTTTCGCAGCACCTAGCCCAAATTATATACAATGGACATGTTGTATATCTTAATACACTTTGCTTAACTTTTCTTGTTAAATCTATATTTTTATCTGATAGTATAAGGACTTTAAAAACTCTATATAAATATACAGACAAGATTGATGGTTCGACTCTACCTGGAGATATAAATTCTAAGAATTTTTAATCCTCTGTAACCCAAAAAGAAGGAGCGCTATTTTGGACATAAAGCCCTGTAACTAAGTTCAAGTACATGTATGAGACCAGAAAAGAAAATTCCTGAAAGAAGGTCCAATTGTGAAGTGTTGCCAATGTGTATATTCTCTACAGAAGGTTCTGTTATCCTATATAATACCAGGTTAAGAAAATAGATTACTAAAATAGAGAGAAATTGATAGACAACTTGGGGTACATTTAAAATATGATAAAGAATAGCAAGGTTGTACCTAACTGGAAGTAGTAATATGAAATATAATACACAGAATACCAATATTAATAAACACCAAGGGGAGTTGAAATATTCTTAATTTAGAAATGACCTATTATAAAAACTTGATTGAAAGTTTCAATGCTTAATTTGGTGATACACCAATTTGGAGAATAGAGTGCATCTATGCACCCTCTAAACCAGTTTAAAAACCAGTTCCTAGCCACTATGTACTCTCTACTCAAAATAGAAATGATCATCATTGTTGTTATTTAACATTAACAAAACTAAGGTTAACTGTTAAGGTTAGGGTCAAGGATAGTATTAGAGTTAGAATATGCTTTAGAAGATACCTATACTATACATGCTACCGAAATAGGTTTTTAAAAAACTCCTATTTCATCTCCATTAGAGCAATTTGGAATTTTTTATATGCAATAGCAAATCTAATTTAGGTAGTTATGTTCCTTATAATTTCGTCTCTTCAAAAAAAGTGTCAAAAATTTCATCTTTTAAGTAAAATAGGTCAAAAACAATTTCGGTTTCAAATTTTAATTTTATATCCCGAAATCTAAAATAATTTCGTCGGCATGTATAACCTATACCAAAATTTTGCAAGAAATTTTTTTTGTTATAATGTAAAAGATAGTTTCATATGCGAAACTTCAAGATAAAGACGATGTTTTAAATAACTAAATGTTTTTTTTAATTTTAGCATTATACACTGATTGTTCGTGTAGTATCTACATATCTGATGCTGATTGGCTAGAGAACCAGTTTCTAAACTGGTTTGGGGGCACATAGATGCACGCTGGAGAGTACCTGTTAACAAGACATGACCAACATTATATGAAACTATAATACTAATATTGGAAGTAACTGTAAGGCTATAATTGCTGAGTGCCTCTTAATAGAATCTGTAACAGATACTGCACTAAGTACCAAGTTAGAAGTATTATGTTGTTAATATGAAAAATGTAGAGAACCTATAAGTAAGAAATTGATTGACAGAAGTAGTATACAAAAAATCTAGATCAAACATTAGGCTCTAGTAGGTTTAGGTTATAGATAAAGTAGTTTAAGTTTAGTATTCTTAGATTAGTCAGTAAATAAGTATATGAGTAAGCAACAAGATTGTATAGTAGTATATGAACTTATGATTTAATAAAAATATATGAGGCATGACCTCACTTTAATACCGAAAAAAAAACTCTACATAAACTTGTTGTTATTATTTCATTCATTTCATTATATATGCTGATTTGTTATTATTTAGTTTCCTGATATAGAAGTAATAAATAATGCTGATTTTTTGAAAAAGATAAGCCAAATTCTTTACTTTTTGTTAAAAATTTTGAAGCTAAAAGACAGCAAAGAAATATCAAGTTTCTGTGAATTTTTCAACCAAGAAGTGTTGTTTCAAGAATTCTTCAAAGTCTTTTATCTTTAAACAAACTTTAGTTTTCTTTCTACTTGCTATTCTCAGAGACTTCTCTGGTTTAGATGCCAAATGCAAAAAGAAGTTCACCTAAGAAAACAAGAAAAAAAGTTTTAACCTCTTTGCAAACTATCCAAAATGCCTACTCCTTGATGTATCACATTTAAAAACTTCATTAACAACAGTTTGTATCAAGAAAACTTTAAGATGTTGTCAACTTCTAGGCTTGAATCTTCAACTTGCTTTTGGTGTTAGATTAGTATAAGTGATCATTGAAAAGAGTGAGTATTATAAGATTGATTATATGTGATTGAAATATTTATATTAATTTTATAGTTTTTTTAATAAATCTATGATATTTTAAATTGTTTTTAATATTTATTCAAAATGCATATTTCTGATATAGTTTTATTTGATCTAAGTATATATAACAAAATAATAAATATATTATATATATGTATAATTTATTATTTATAACAAATTTGTATGAGCCTTCCTACCTAATAACTTGAATAAAAACCTTAGCCCCAAAGAGGCTAGTTCAAAAAAAAAATATATATATACTTAAGATTAAAATTCAAAATAAAATTTGTATTTTATTAATTAAATCTTAATATATATATATTTATATTTACAAATTTTCAGAAACTTATATATGTGCAAAAATACATCTACAGTATTTGAAACCAAGTCAAAGTATGTATCTATATAGTAAGATTGTATATTTATAAAGGGTGCACTTAGATAGGTTTAACTGTATTTAATAGAAAATGATGTATGTAACGATATATGACGAGAAGAGATTCTGAATAGTGCGGTATTGTCTAATGTTCCTACATTGTACATTATAAATAACTACCGTATTGTACTACACTGATTAAAAACAAAATACCTAACTAAAAAAAAAATTATAAAATATTCTGGTATATTGTACAGCAAAGGATCATTATTGTAAACTAAAAAAGTTTCAAATGCATACACGTTCTCGTTTATGGTATACAGTTTAGGGCTTTAAAAAAGCCGGTTTAACCCGGGTAATTTTACATGGGGGGTATGATAAAAAGGGAATCTTTTAATCAGTGCAGATATTACAGCCGAATCTGGATATAACGAACCTCTATATAACAAACTCTGAAGATAAGAACTCAAAATGTTAAATTCATAATAGTTCGGCATAAAAAATGCCATGGGTCCTTAAGAAAACATAGTAATTTTCTATAACGAACTTTTTTCCTTCCAGAACCATCAGTTCGTTATAGAAAGAGTTGATTGTATATGAATATCATACGAATGTGTGAATATTAGAAATACAGCAAGTTAGTACGTACCTCATTCATAATTATACAATTCACTAAAAAGTTAGGTAGCATAGTCGGTTTTGATCGGTTCTAAGGAAATTGCTGACGTTTAAGAATTTATAAGCTAACTTACTGTTATTTATAATAATTAATCTACATAGTGGTTTACTCAATAGAGTATTTTTATATTAGGACTTTCTGAGATTAATTGCATCTCATATTCAAGTAAATACATTAAATGAATTATTAAATAAGGAAACATCAATTCGAAACCGATGAAGGATTGTTTACGTCATTGCAAACTCACTTGCTGGAAGGTTTCGAAAAAAAAAATTAATTAGAAGTCTTAAGAATTTTACGACTATTACAACCTTCGAATTATAACATACAAATTATTACTTACATAATAGCGAAAGCATAACCCTATCTTGCAAAATTTTTAGGTTTTTCAGAGTTTCACATTGAAGTGGCTTACATTATCAAATCAAGCTTTCTCACGTACGTACGTACGTACATATATGACTTTGACTTAGCTTTAGAAAACCTCTCAAATCAGATTCAAAATATGGCCATGGTCACTACAGAATTCAGAGTTTGTCTTGCACTTGCATTCAACCATTGTTTTACCGTTACTCATATAATATTGACAATTTCGGCTGAAATCAATACGTACATATTAAAGCCACTGTAGATCAAAACTACTTATGTAATATTTGAGCACGTGAAGTTTAAATGAGACGTGTAATACCTGATACAGTGTACTCAAATATAAATATATAAGTGGATCATCGAAATTTGAATAAAATCGAAATATATTTTTACACGCTTGCATCCGCCTCTACGTAAATCCTTTTCATTTCGGACGCAGCACTGGGCGATACATTTCACGAATCTCTATCTTATTCTCTTGGCGACTAACCTATTCAAAAACATGCCTAAGAATAAATCTTGCGATGATAGCATAAGTGTTCACACTTGGATTTTAAGGGACTTTCAAGATCATTTTAACGAAATAAAACCAGATGCTTATTTAATGAGTGATAAATTCGGTTCCTCACAACAACTTTCTATTCACTCTGAAGGAGAAACAGAAAGCAAAGGTCCAACTCATACATGGCGCTTAAAAGTATATCCTAAAGGTCGCACAAGTTCTGACGAGCATTTATCAATATACATAAAAGCTTTTCCTTCCGATTACGAAACTACCCATGGAATTCCTTCTAGGACTGCTACTTATCAATTTCGATTGTTCCGACTCGCCTCAAATTCTGAATCATCTGATGGATTATCATTACTAGAAATGAGCAAAAAGGTCACACAACAATTCATCTTTGAATCTCCTAACCAAAGTTTTGGATCAGTGAAATTTTGTCCTCATACTAAAATATTTCCAAATAACAAAACCTCAACAAAAACTGATCTGGCTATTCAAGTCAATTTTTTTAGCAATGATCAACTTTTAAAAGATTCAAAACCCTCTGAATGTTCGTCATTAGCTACAATGGAAAAATTTTTTGGCGATGATCGTTTCAACGATGTTGAGTTTGAATTCGATTGTGGTACTAAAATAAAAGCTAACAGATTTGCATTGGCCTTACGTTCTCAATATTTTGAAAAATTATTCGGAGGCGATTGGATGGAATCTAAAGCAACTACCATTCCGATAAGGCATTCCAAAGCCGAATCTTTTCGAGCAATGTTATATTACCTTTATACAACAAAACTTGAAAGTGGTTTGTCTTTAGATACATTAAAAAACCTTTATTTTGAAGCTGATATGCGAGAAATTTATGGCTTACGAGATTTGGTAGTTTCTCGTATGGCCGACATGATAGATCAAGATAATTGGGGCAATGTTGTAGAATTTAGTTTACAAATTGATGATGAAAGATTTAGGAAAAGGGCTTTGACTTATGTCGAAAAAAATTGGGATGAATTAAAAAAGACTAAAGAAATGAAGAGATTATTTTTGGCGAAATGCGAGACAATGGATTGGATCAGCTGGATAGAAGATGTTATTAAAGCTAAAGTATTTGGTGGTCGTATTTGATAAAAAAAAACTTCTTTTGCTTCCGGATCAAATGCAACATAGCTCATATCATTAATAAATTGATTGTTAATCAATTATTTAGAGTAACATAGATTATACTGCACTTTGATCCTTGCTCCTACCAATAGCTCTTATACTTAATTATTGATGCTTTCTTAGAAATGTTTCACGATTTTATTCGTGCATCAAGAATTTCGATAAATCATTAATTCTGCAATATTGATATCATAATAGTCTTATTTTTGAGGAGTAAAAAATTTCTTGTAAATTTGTTTTTTTTAAGCTTTTAAATTTTGTAAAATATTCCAATAACCATAGCTTGCAAAAAGATCGCTTTTAGAATTGTTATTTGTCTAGATTTAATTTAGAATACTATTATCCCTTTGATGTCCTTTGATTTCTTGCTACATTATTTAAAATCCATTCATTTTATAATTGTAAATTGTTTCGAGATACTTTGTCTTTTTCAATTCTCTTGGGCAAATAGAGTAAAGTCATTAAAATTGATGACTCACGCTACGAAAAAGATCCATTGCATAGGGCTATACAAGTTTCTAGGACTATTTAATAAAAAATCTTAACAACTATCAAAATAGTATTAATTTCTATTTGGCCTATGGTTTACCTGACAGACTAATGAAGATTAACAGTAAGAATATTTTACATACAGTATAAGTGCTGGATCATGGTAAAAATTATAAAAAAAAAAACAAAATACGAAATGACTATGAAATTTAGACTTATGGATTAACTGATCTGTAAATTTTGCGACTGATAGATCAAGAGCAGTAGATTAAAGTTCTTTAGAATTAACATTTTAAAATTTTATAAAAATCGTAAACTTCGCTCGTAGAATTCTATGAACAACGAAGATTTGTGACTTTTAAGATCATTAGGTGTAAAATTTTATGCTGAACAAGTTTACTTAAAAGGCTAAGACAGTTATCCCTCTTTATAATCACCCTCCCTATAAGCACATCATACAAAAAACCTCATTCTATCACTTCAAATTTAAAGCAAATTATTATTAAACTTACAAAATTTTACCTCTATATAAGCACAACCTCTTTATAAGTACTTTTTTAAAAAAAGTTCTTAATTAACCAACTTGGTGATTATAAAGAAGAATGGTTATATTTTGCAAAAAATTAAAGTTGTTATAAATAAAACATTTAAAATTCTGTTTTTTTCTATTAAGATAACCTGTCATTACTTTCTAAGTAACTTATTTCAGTATTTAGCATAAAATTTTGTGCTACACCGTTTTTAATATACACTTACTCGACACCTTTAAATTAATAAGCTTTGATTTATTTTTAAATTAATATAAAAAAGTTTTAATGAATAAGTGAACACTGGATCATCTAGGACGGCCCCCAAAAGTGCCAGTGACATGCAACTTATTGGTTTTATTCTAGCTGGATATTGTAGATATAGTATTACAGTCTGCCCTCCATACAGTCACTCTCCATATAGTCACACCCTCTTTATAAGCACACTAATTTTTAGAACAAATGTATATAAAACATACCTCTATACAGGCATAATTTTTATAAGCACAGAATTTTTTGGAACAAAGGGTGTGACTGTAGAGGTTAGACTGTATATCGCAATATATACAGTCAACCCCTCTATAGTCACCTCCTCTATAGTCACAAAATTAGTATAATTACTTACCAATTATTTATAGCTATATAAAAAATACCTCTTTATTAGTCACACCTCTTTATAATCACGGTTTTTTTGTATCCCGAAGGTGTGACTATAGAGAGGTTTGACTGTATTAGGGTTGAAAATTACAATTTTACGTTCAGTAACATGGATTTCACACGTTATATAAAGTACCAGCATTATGAAAACTTAGCTAGCATTATCGAACTACAATAGACTTTACATAAAGTTTACTTATCGTTATCGTTATCAAATCCAACAATCATATGAAACCATATGATAATATCAAGATTACGCAGTTACGTTAGTATAGATTAGTGGAGCAACCAGATCGACCAAAATTTAGGGTCGGAATAGTCCGGGAATTGATAAATTTCTCCCAAAATTTACTAAATATATGAAATGGTAGCCCACGTACTAAGTAAAGCTGCCAAATGATAATTTTGATAGTTGGCTTGTATTATTGCTTAATTCCGGCCTAGCTCCGGACCCTAGATTTTGGTCAATCTGCTGAATTTTGGTTGCTCCACTAATCTATATAATGTTAGTATAAATGTGGCTGCGCCATAATACATCACTGGTGATTCAGTGTTTACTGTAAGCAGGTCAAAGTTTAAAATCTTAATGAAAAAAAAAGATTGTATTATTTATACATATCAAACTTTTTTTATTAAATTAGTGATTTTTAACACATTGCTAATCCCTATTAATTTACTACAAGTCACTCTCGTTATAGTGAATCTTCGATGTAGTGAATATTTTATAACAAAATGTCTTATATTATAGTGAAGATGTTATTATACGTATAATATTTTATTATCCAATCAAATTAATAGATTTTTGATAATATATTTGATTATTGTTTTTACTATATTGTGAGGCTCTCGATATGGGGGTGAGTCAATAGAAATCAAGCAAATTGTTTTTATTGAATTTTTTTAAAACTTTATATACCAATAATTTA